AGGAGTCAGAAAGTTACCCCCTAAATACATGGACCCTGGAGACAGGCAGTGGGGCCAGAGGATGAAGCCTTTGGCGTGGTTTCCTTCTACCCAGAATCCAAGACTGCCCCACTGTCTTGGGGCTAGTGAAACACCTCTTTCAGTCAGCTCGTTTTCTCAGCTGTCATTAACCACTGCTTCCTTCACAATTGATCTGAATCGACAGCACAGTCAATCCGATCTCTCATTAAAATAGGTTGAAATCAATACACTGGACTTTGTGTCTCTGTGGTGCCTTTGCAGCCTGGAACTGTGGATAAGCTCCTGGTCTCTAAAGCAGCCAATTCCTCTAAAAGAATGTGCTCTAAGTCTGGGGGTCTGGGGCCCAGTGGAGGCCCCTAAAGGATAGAGGTATGTGCCTTCTGGATTTAGGACAGGATGGGGAAAGAGCCTAAAAGCAGCATTCCAGGGAGGTCTGCCCAGGTCTAGGGATTTTGGAAAAGTATTTGCACGGCCAATCTCCTAAATCAAGAATGATTTAGCCTCTGTGTTTCCAGCTGGGTTAGCCTTATCTGTCTCTCATGCCTCTGCAAGTCTCATGTGTCAAAGGTAACACAGATTGTGTAGCCTTACGCTTTATAGTTGGTAACATACCTTGCCCACGGCAGGTGAGCGGAGCTCATCTGTTGAGTGGAGGAGATGCCTGCAGCTGCAGGAGGCAGGAAGGGGTCAGCCCTGGGAAGCCAAGCACAGGCCTAGCACTGCCATTCACTTCTTACCATGCCCCCTTCCTCCTTTGCTATCAGTGCTTCTTTCTGTCTTCCTGGTATCTTTCTCCTAACCCCTCCCCCCATAAGCTTTCTTCAATTCTCCCACAATCTCACTGATCTCTCTGCATGCTTTTTTTTTTTTTTTTTTTTTGCTCAAAAAAGAAAAGAAAGAAAAGAAAACCCATAAGGCTAAGCCCTTCAGTCCAAGGCAAGATGCTTTACTTCTTTGCTTCCAACTGCAACATTTGAAGTAAAAAATAAGTTGTCCAGATCAATTCATTATAATGAAGCCACAGTGCTTCAGAAAATGGAGTGTTTGGGGTGATATGATAATTCATTGCCCACAAACCTAGAAAGAAAACTCACTAAATCAGCCAACAAAGTGGCCCTGCTACTGCAGTTATGTGGTCTGTAAGGAAAATACAGAGTTTGCAACTATTTTCTGGAGGGAGAGCAGGTAACAAAGTATTCCCTTGATTTCTTTAGAAGTAAGCGGAGGAACCCAAACATGAAGTGCTGTTTTGATGGCTGGAGGGGTCACCTCCTAGTACTTTTCCTTTTTCCTAAGAGCATCTGCTCAGTTTGTTCTTCCCCGAGTCCTGAGCCTTCCTCACCACCCCTACCCCACCCCAAATTCCTCCATCCTCTCTCCATCCCTATGGAGGCAGCGGGGGGACCCGGGATGAGTCTGACTTCACCAACTACAGCCTCATAATAGCTTCCTGACCCATCTGTTAATTAGCCATTAAAAAAAGGCACACAGTTCCGCCCTCAGAGTGATTCTCATCTCCAAGACACTAATGAATCAACTGAGGGTGAGGAGGAAGAAACAGGTTTGAATATAAGACAACTTGTACCCTACAGCATCGAATGTCTAAGGGAGCCAGTTTCCTGGGCTGTTTCCTGGGTGGAGCCCCTGCCCTTGCAAGCAGCAGCCCCTCTCTGAAAAATAGCCCCAGGGGACATTGCAGAAACCACTCATGAAGCATGAACATCAGTGGGGGCCTGTGGCCCATCAGCTTGAACCACAGCCTGGCAATTGGAAAGAACAGGAAGGCAGAGATGCCCTGGTGGGAAAGGGGTTCCAGTTGAGAAAGGCAGTTTGCCTGATGTCCAGGGATTTCCAGCTCCAGAGCACAGCTCTGTCGGGGGTCCCTCCATCCATTCTCCTCCCTGGGGTCCAGCTGCATCTGCCTGTGCTCATCGGTTAGAATCATCAGAGAACAGTTTCCCCTAGAGACAGTGTCTTCTCACACAGAAACAGGATGGCAAGGTCTAATCACTGCTGGAAAAGACCAGACCTGCTCTTCGCTGTGGGGCTGGAGAGGTGCAAGGGTGCCCTGCCCTAAGAATGAGTATGCCTGGGCAAGTGGAAGGCTGCCTAGCCTGGGAACCCCAGGAGCGGCAGAAGTCTGATCTTGGGGTGGCATCCTACATTTTACCCCTCCCAACTCTCCCACGAATATCCCTTTCAGGCAGTTCTCCTCACGCAGACTTAGCTCCTGCTAGCCCAACTACCACCTTCAGAGAGAAGCACAAACCGGAACAAGCTCCTTTCATTTTCAGAAAGGAAAAGTCTCTGCTGAACTATTCCCTGGAATATGTAACTAAGCGCACCTCCCACTGCCTCTGCTGACCTCTGAGGAATACACATTCTTTCTTGGCCCCCACTTTCTTTAGGGAAAACTCACAGCATGAGTATTTCTCTCTTTCTCCATCGCTCTCTCCACTGCCTACCCCAATTTCCCAAGAAGGCGATCTATAATAAACTTCCCCCAAATGGCAAGCAGTGACCTCTGAGGTGTGCGAAAGCAGCTGTGCTAGCGTGCACAGCCAGGAGCAGAGCACAGCACACACACCCTGACATGCCTGGGATGGAAGAGGTGATGGGATACTGTTATGCCTGAGTCACCTAGGATTGAAAAAATAAGGTTCCCTGACCTGCCCAAGGTCATTCAGAGTGTCCCAGATGGATCTCTCACACCCTGCCCCTGAACACAGACATGCATTGTCCTCTAGCTCACAAGCACCAGTATGAGGGTTTCCAAGGCCAGACTGCAGCTGCTGGAAGAGGTGCTGTGAATCCAGCAATATCAGGAGGTAAATTTGAGAAACATCCCTTATTTACATAGTGGTTTGAGGGATGAAATTCATCTCTCTTCCCATGATTACCTCTCATTCCCCACCCAGAGAGAAATTAGCCCAGTAGTCTGGCTGTTGAGCAATATATCTATACAAACTAGTTGACTTGGTTTGGAAATGGCAGAGGGCAGGGGAGAGAAGTAAAAAAGGGGGAGTGTCAGTGTAGTGGTGAGGGTAGAAAACACCAAGAGGGACCATGGCATCTGTAGGGTCACAAGCCAGGAGAACAGAGGCCAATGCCAAGATTCAAAGATCACCAGTGTCTTCCCAGGTGATGATGAATATACTCAGCAGGAGGTGGTGAGAGCAGGGCAGGGAGCAGCTCTGTCTGAGGGTACTGGGAACAATGGCTCAGGAAAAAACAGCAACCCAAAGAAAAGTTTCTGGAAATCAACCAGAAAGCAGCCCAGCCAGAGTAGAAGATGCGATGAGAGACCAGGGTCACAGGAGAAGGTAAGAGACAATTCTCCATGCAGGTCAGGAGGCAGAGGTAGAGGGATAAGGAACAGATACATTTGCTTTGGGAAGGAGCCTGCCTACAGGCAACTGCTTCTCTGCTCCCCAAGGTGAACCACAGAGAATTCTTCAGCAGACAATGACCAAAGGAGAGAGTGTCTTATATTTATTTTATTCTCCAGCCCTCCTGCCCTCTACATTCCAGAGCCAGGGCTGATCACAGACCATTTGTCACAATTCTTGTATCAGTTCCCAGGATCAGTCCAGGCATAGGTCACTACTTGAGAGACAAGATGGGGTGGAATGAAGGGCAGTGGCACCTTAGGGTGATGAATGAGGATTATAAAGGGTTCCCTTTAGGAAGCATCCCAATTCTAACACCTGAGTTTGTCCTACTTTGTCATACTTATTGCCAGGAGGAATCATTTTTTTCTCAACACACACAGTATCAAGGGAGAAAACATCATGCCCAGATATTTCTACCTGCCTTTCTCTCTCTTCATCAAAGTGCAGGTGATTAATGTCCACAGCAGTGAGGAAAGCAGGTTTTCAACCCAAAAGGTTAACAAGTACAGTGTGAAGATGAACTAAAGCTACATGGTTCAAGATGGACCCTGCAGGGCAAATTCAGAAGTAGGACTGATCTGGGGGACATGATCCTGTTTACCTGGGCCCACACCAGATGCCGAAAATGGAGGTGTTTGCAGGCAGGGTTTGTTCCCTGAAAGACTGCTGAACCATGTCCGGCCATTCATCACGGCGAGGGGACTGGAGGCACAGCTAACTTTGCCTCCCCTCGGTGCATCCTCCCTAGAGTTGCAAAGGGTGCTGACTTCCTGTTGTCTCAGCTTTGACTTCCCAAAGGGCTCACTGGGAGCTGGAGTGGTGAGGTGGGAGATAGGGTGGAACCAGGGCTGTGACAGTTCCAGTTCTTGGCATCAGTTTTGGTAGAAAGCAGCCCCCACCATGTCCCTAATGTAAGCAATGAAAAAGCCCACCAGGTTTAATACAGTAAGAAGTGTTAACTCCGAATTCTGCTCACAGGGTTTAAAAGAACTAGTCTTCCAGTTGCAGCAGGAAAGATATGCATCCCACTCCACAGGGAGCAAAGAAGCCCCACTATCTTCCCTTGGACAACATGAAATGGATAAATCTATTCCTTCTCCCCCAGGAGAAACCCGTTCCAATTGACCTCCATCTCTAAATCACGCAGACCTCCAGTTTACACCAAGTCACTTGGTGTTCTCTTCAGGAAGATTCCAACATGGGCTAATTTCCTGCATTTAAGAGGACATACTAGGGTTTCGCTGGGAAAACCCAATGCAATAAGATCCTTCACCCCAGGTGCCCACATGCCTCGAAAACCGAACCCCCAGTACCTTCTCGGGATTACGAAATTTGGACAATTCTTATACTCAAACTTCACAGATCCGACCAATCCATACCTTGCAAATCTCTCTCCCACCAAAGCATGCAATCATTTCCCGTTCTGACGAAGTGGAGGGAAGGGTACAAGAAGGCTCAGATTCACGACACTAAGAGAGTGAAGAGAGTGACGAGAGATGTGGTGATGCCAAGAGTAAAGAGGACAGGGAGCAAGGAGAGAGGGATGAGGTCCGGGGAGGCTGGGGGCAGGCACCGGGCGCCTCTCACCTGTGGATGTTCATCTCCCGCGGGGGGCGGTGGGCCTTGTCATAGGAGACCTTGGCGAAGACGCCCGCCACGATGACGAAGGCGATCACCCCGCAGGTGATGTAGACGGTGAAGTTGGTCTTATCCTTCTCCGGGTCGTACTTGTTCTCGGGCCCAGGAGACACCACCTTGGTGCTGGGCGTCTGGACCCACACCGGGCTCTGGTAGTTGGTGCACTGGCGCTGGTCCAGCTTCTCGTGGCGCTTCTTGCAGCAGAAGCGGTAGTAGCAGGTGCCGCAGCAGTACAGGTAGCCGCTCTCGCTGTTGTTACACTCGAACTCCTTGTCGTACTGGCCGCTCACGTCGTAGTAGCCCCAGCACGTCTCGTAGGTGACGGCCGCGCTGGCCGCCGCCGCGGGCTGCCCCCGCCGGTTCCCCGCCTCCGGGACGCCCGGCGCCCGGGCGGTGCCGTTCAGTTCGCGGCCGCCCCGGGCCAGGGCGCCCCCGGACCGCCGGCCCCCGACGGCAGCGGCGCCGGCGCTCAGGGTCCGGTTGGCGGCGCGGCCGCGAGCGCCGTGGGCACCGGGCAGCAGGTCCAGAGACTCCAGCGAGAGCAGCAGCAGCAGCAGCAGAAGGCGCCGCAGCGCCATGGTGGGGCCGGGCAGGAGGGCGCGGGGAAGCGTCCGTGGCAGGCCGCTCCTCCGGCCGGCCGGGCTCCGAGGGCGGCCGCGGGGGCCGAGCTGGCTGCGCGGGGCGGTCAGCGGCGCCGGGGCGATGGCGCCATCGAGGCGCGGGCGGCGGCTGCAGGGGCGGCGCGCGGTGCGCACGGACCGGCCCCGCGCGGGCTGCGCGGGCTGCGCGGGCTGCTCCGGCTCTCACGCTACGCGCCGGCTCCGCGCTCCCCCTGCGGGCTCCGCGCGCCTGCCGGGCAGCCCCATCCCCCGCCGGCGGTAGCAGCGGCCCCGCGCGCGGCTCGGCTCAGGCAGGACGCGGCGCGTGGCTCCGGGCGGCGGCAGCGGCGTGGTCCCGTCCGGGCGGGTCCTGCGGGACAAGATGGGGAGCCGGTCACGGGGTGGGGCGACCCGCGCTCCGGAAGCGGGGGGCGAGCGGCGGGCGGGGAGGGAGCGCGCAGCCCTCGAGGAGCCAGGCTCGGAGCTGGGAGGCGCGCGGAGCCCGCTCCCAAGACGGGGCCCCGCGGCCCGGCGCGCCGGCCACCGAAGGCGCACGGGCCACCCCTCTGGAGCCGCCCGGCCGCCCGGCCCCGTAGCGCGTTCGCGCCGCTCGCTGGCTCCCGGGACGGAGCCGGCTGCGGCCGGGGTCCGGCGGCCAGTCGGGGGAGCGGAGCGCGCGGCGCCAGGACCTCACTCACTCACCATGCCCGGCTGCGACTGCAGAGGCGGCCGGAGCGAGCGAGCCGGGAGGCGCCGGCTCTCTGCCTGCACTAGTGCCGGAGCGTGTGCGAGGGGGAGCGAGGGAGACACGCGCACTCACACACCCGCACACACGGGTGCGCCGCGAGGAGGGGCGGGCGGGGGGAGGGCAGCCGCTCGCCGCCGCCCACGTTCACACGCCTGGGCGCCCGAGGGTAGGGAGGGCTGCGCTTTGCCTCTCGCCCCTCTTTCCCTCGCGGCGCTTGAAGCTCCGCACCACCAAAGCCCAGGACACCAGTTCTTCAACACCGCGAACCAGGCGGTCGGAGAGGAGCTCAGAAGCCAGCCGGGAGTGCCTTTTGGAACCGGCCCGCGCCGGGGTCAGCCTTCCCCAACCTTTGCCCAGTCTTGCCCAGTCCACAGCCCTGGCTGTGAGTCCCACCCTACCTGAGTCCTGGGGCCGTGCGCTGCCGCTGCCAGGCAGGAGTTGGGGTTTCTGCGAGCCTTTGCCACTCCCTAGTGGCGGCACTCACAGCGGAGGGAAGAAGCCAAACCCATTGCTACAGGTTCCTCAAATGAGACCAGGGGTCAAGTGGCTTGTTTGAGGTTATTGACGACCCATGAGGAAACCCTACCTTCTCTTTGCCTTGCCAAGATCTCCCCCCACATGCACACAGGCGCAGGAAGGCCCCTGCACGCACCCACTCAACCTCTTATTCCCTCTTTCCAGGACATTCTCCAGAGCATTGAGACAGAATTAGGAAAACATTCTGAGTGTCTATGACTCTGCTGTGAAATGAAAACCCCTCTGCTGTAGCTGATGGAGGGTGAGGGGTGGTGAGAAGGGGTGTTCCTGTGTAGTTGCTGGACGTGGGAAGGAGTCCAGAGTCTGACTTTCAAAGCCATGAGGCCACCCCAAGAGGGTGTTCTAATCATCATCTTTGGCATGTGTCTGTGGAGGAGGAGGGGGAAATGAGAACAATAAGCAGCAGCCACTGCCAAAAATATATGTGTGTCCTGGCTTTCTGTGCATGGGCCCAGCATGCATGGGCTGAAGGCAGGGGTCAGGTTGTCACAGTGGGCATGAAAAGGGTTTGTTCAGAGATTGTCCCCAAGGCTGCCCATGCAGTTCTCCTCTGGTGTGACCCAAATCAGGATCCCCTGTGCCAGGAAAGGCAGAGTCTCCTATTGGAATTCCCTACTGGATAAATGAAGCTGGAAGCTAAGATTCCAAGGCAGAACAGGGATATCTTGATCCTAGGAAGAGAGATGCACAAATTCTCCTGGCAGCTTCCCACTTGCTACTATCTCTCCATTCCCTCCCTGCCTGTTTACCCTCTTCCTCTGCACTTCCTCCAGTACCTCCACTTTTACTCAACTGTCCCCCTCTTCTTAATGATTCTGTTGAACAAACTTTCCATTTAGTGCCCACTCTACCTAGTACTGTGGTAAGTACTGATATAAAAGATAGGTCAGACAGGCCCCCTCCCCACAGAGGGGGAGCTCATAGACCCTGAGTGCGACAAATGAATGAATGATTACCATAGCCCTGGTTACAGCCTGTGTTAAAAGAGCCGTGGAGTACTCTGAGAACACAGATGACAGACACACAGCCTAGTCCTGCAGGGGAAATATGAGTGTGAAAGGCAGCGCTCTCCTACCTTAACTAACAAGCAATGTCTTGAAGAATGAGTAAGAGTTAATACAGGAAACAGAAGGGAAGGACACCAGCAGCAGAGGGAGCATCACAAGGAAAACCCGGGAGACCTGAGGTGGTGAGGGTGCACAAGCAGCATGTACCAGCGAGCAATTTAGCATAAACTCTGAGGGAGTCTTCCAGATGCAACTGGCAGAAGGGCATTCTATCTCCCGCCAAAGAACTTAAAATTTATTCTATGACTGATGGGGACAGCGAAGCTGTCCGGCACTAGGGTTTCAAGCTCAGGAGAGCAGAGAAGATAGGCATGTACATTTGGAGATCATAAAAATGACCTATTAGGTCATTTCTTTTCTCTCCTTTTCCCTTACCTCTTGCCTTCCCTTCATTATTTCAGAATTCCTATTCCATACCAGGAAGCTTCCTAGCAATCATTAGATAACATGCCTTCCTCACGTGGGATTCTGATAAGATTTGATCAATGCCAGTGAGTAAGAGAAGTTCCTCAGATCAACACCACCCACAATTGTGTTTTGAACCCTTGACTCATCAACAAACTCTCAGGAAATCACAGTATCTCAGGGCTGGTTAGTGTCTTAGGGGTCTTACTATAATATGTCTTATTGCCATTTCCGGCCTTCCCATTTTGCTCTTGACCAGGTGTCTGCCTACCATCACTCATTTTCCTACTTTCTCCTTCCTTTTTCATAACCTGAATAGTTAACAGTAGAGAAGTCTTTTTCCTTTGTGGATTTGACTCAGCAAACGTTGCCAGAGAAGAATCATCTTTTACAACACCTACACCAACTTCAAACAGTCTTGGAGAAAGTGACCCAATCCATAGTTCTGAAATATAGACCCCCCAATTGGACTAAACCAACCATAATAATCACACCCCTTGCCAATAACCAGCTAAGAATGGACATGCGAGTGTCTTCCTGGTGGCGCAAGGGGTTAAGACACAACCTATGAAGCTATTCACAGTCACTGCAGCAAGAGTTCGATCCCCGACCAGGGAGCTACCCACACAGTGCAGCAGACCTCTCCTGTCTTGCCTGCTGCTCCCTTCAGCAGTGTATTTCAGTCAATCTGCCTGTTCTGTTCCCCACTCTGCCTCTGGTGAATCTTCTTACCGCCCACATCTCTGCCTGTACCCCAGTTCTTGTATATATAAATAAATAAATAAATCTTTAAAAAAAATGTACATGCGATCCAGTTCTAGCCAATACAAAGCAAGGGAACTATAGGGAAATTCTGGGGAAAGTTTTCTCTCTCTTAAAAATAGTGGTAATTAATCTGATTTCTTGAATGGCATTTCTCAGGATGTTACAATCTTGTGTGGGAGGAGACGGTGATGGTGAGGGGATCTAGTTGCTGGTTGAAGTTGATATTCTGTTGAGAGTCATTATTGCTGCTCATTAAATAGCTCTTCCATACGGTATAATCACAATTTGTGGTCCACTTATGAGTAGAAGGGAAAGTGACCAGTACTACTGGTCAACAAATTGAGAGCACAGATGAATTGTGTTGCTTCTGAACTGGACATCTAACTGCTGCTTCAAGACACACTAGTGCTTTCATTTTCTTCTGGCTTGGTGATCAGCAATGTTCTTTATGGGAGTGCCTTTGTCAGCCTGTGAGCGACCACAAGGAGTAGAGTGCCATACCTAATGCAAATAGTGCTGCCTCCCAGAACAGACATGTTGCAGGAGTAAAAAAAAATGCTTTTTCTTCTTAAAGCCACTGGAATTGGGGTCTGTTATTAAAGTGTATCCTCGCCCATCCTGACTGATATCGAGAACTGCAGATGGAAAGATGGCAGGAACATTACTGAACCCCTTAACGAACTCTAACCTGTGCTCTTCCAGCCTTGGTCTTCCAGTGATGTGCAAAAATTTAGTTTTCTTTTGATGAAGCTTGATCGAATCCAGAGTTTCCCTTGCATGCAGCCAGACTCCTAAGTCTTTGGCATGTACATATCATGCATCTTGTGTCTATTCTTACTTTCTCTAGGGTTTCAACTTACCTGTGCAGCTTTTTACTAATCATATGATATCCATGGAATTCTGTTTGTTTCTCTATAAAGTGGAGAGCTGGGCCTCCCCGGTGGCACAGTGGTTGAGCGCTGGGTTGCGAAGCTGCCTGCAGCCTCTGCAGCGCCGGTTCGATCCCCGGCTGCTCCCCGGCCACCGGAGGAGGGTCCCACATGGCGCCCGCTGCTCCCCTCAGCAGTGTACTTCGGTCCTTCTGCCTGCTCTGCTCCCTGCTCTGGCTCTGGTGAATTCTCTCACCCTCCCGCGCTTCTGACTGTACCCAGTGCTTGTATAAATAAATAAAATAAAATCTTCAAATCCTTTAAAAAATAAAATAAAATAAATTTCTTTAAAATAAATAAATAAATAAATAAATAAATAAATAAATAAATAAATAAATAAAGTGGAGAGCTAAGGAGAGGGAGTATTTCTAATAAGCCATCTCTGGTGTCTCTTTCCACTATGATTCTCTTCCATGGCCTCCAAGCATGAGATGGCTCCATGTACTTGCACAGTCTGGGCCCCTGCTGTCCTTTTAAAGCTCATCTCCTACCCTTCCCTCCGCATTTACTCCTTCCAGTCACGTTGTT